TCTTCTACGTGCACTGCTGCACGTTGAGATATTTCAAGATAAACAAAGAAAAGAAGTCAACTCTGATGGCTCAGGCTTAGAGGGACTGGTGTAAGGAATTAATAAATAGTTTCATTGTCCCCTGAAGAGAAACTGAAAACTATTCCACTCCCCAAGGAGTGAATTTATTTTTTAGGAGTCATTTAATCTTTGGAGCTTTAAATACACTTTAACTCATTCCATAAAGAATTCGAGGTAGCTTGCAACAAAAGACACATACAATGAACCACAAAAACATAAACATAAGTGGAAAATTAGGATCAAAGATAACAAATATTCCATCAATACTGCTTAACTATAGCTGCTGTGATCAAGTTTCAAACTTGGCTCTGAACTTTCTTGGCAACAGTAACCACTCCATCTCCAGCTGACCCATAAAAGCAGGTTACAAAAACTAACCTTTGTTCTTCAAGGTTTAAATGTAATATTTTCCTGAGCAGTCTCTGTTCTATTTTGCATTTTGCCTTGCTAACTAGCCAGCTTCATTCATTTCCCCTCCCTCCCTCCCTCTCTTCTCTTTCTTTCATTTCTTTCATTCCTTCTTTCCCTCCCTCCTTCCTTTTTCTGTTTCCTCCAAGAATATCATATTAAACTGTGAGCTGAGAGGATAAAACTCAAGTTTGTCCAAAGAGGAGATGAATAGGGTATGTTTTGGTCTGTCACCAAATTTTTAGTGACAGATAAGCATGGAATTGAAACATGGAAAGATATAGGTAAATTATTATCTACTCTCTGAGTAAGCTTAATTACAGTGAAAGAAATCATATAGGAAAACAGTAAGAGACTAGACAACCCCAAAAGAAAACAAAGATAAGTCAAAATTGAAAGACAAATATACTAGGATAATCATTTAAGAAGTGATAGGTTGGCCGGGCGCAGTGGCTCACGCCTGTAATCCTAGCACTCCGGGAGGCCGAGGCGGGTGGATCGCTCAAGGTCAGGAGTTCGAGACCAGCCTGAGCAAGAGCAAGACCCTGTCTCTACTAAAAATAGAAAGAAATGATCTGGACAACTAAAAAAAAATATATATATATATAGAAAAAATTAGCCGGGCATGGTGGCGCATGCCTGTAGTCCCAGCTACTTGGGAGGCTGAGGCAGTAGGATCGCTTGAGCCCAGGAGTCTGAGGTTGCTGTGAGCTAGGCTGATGCCACGGCACTCACTCTAGCCCGGGAAACAAAGCAAGACTCTGTCTCAAAAAAAAAAAAAAAAAAGAAGTGATAGGTTTATTTTCTTAAATACAAAGATAACATAAACAAGTACTGCTATATGCCAATGACTCCAAACTTTATAATTCTAGCCCAACCCATATTTCTCTCCTCAACTCCCAACTCCTATAGCCACACCTACTTAACACCTGCACTTGGATATTTATCTCAAACTCAACATATACCAGATGGAATTCCTGATGTTCCTCCTGAAAGATGCTTCATTCACAGCTTGCACCCATCTCAGTTGATGGCAACTCCATCTTTTCCGCTGTCCAAGCCAAAAACCTTGGGGCCATCACTGACTGCTGTCTCTCTTATCCCACATCCAATCTATCAGTAAATCTTGTTGGCTTTGTCTTTAAAATACACCCAGAACGAACCACTTCCTGACACCTCTGCTGCTCCCACTTTGATCTGAGTCCCCATTATTTCTTGCCTGGGTTAGTGCAGCACCCTCCCCATTGGCCTCCCTCATTTGATTATTGCTCTCGCCTCCTCCTCAGGTTGATTTTCTACACATTATTGGTATGAATACAGCAATATTTTTATACTTTTAATACATTTAACACTAAACAATAAATAACATGTGTACTTATATATTTTACATTAGTATTTATACTGTACTTATTAATGTTCTGCAATGTGCTATACAGGTGGACATATGTGAGAATTCTCATTTTTTATTTGCTACTCTTCAGCATAACAGCAAAACATGAAAGCAGATCAGGAAAGACCACAGGCATCATAGTTTTTCCCATGTGCCAGATCCTTAAGACTAACAGTGAATGTGGATGCTGCCTGCTATTTATTGGCTGAAATACCCTTGGATGAGTTTTTTAACCTCTCTATGCCTCGTTTTTCTAATGTTCAAATGGGGATAGCTCTCACGCATATAACACAGTGTTAGGAGACTAAGTGAGAATGTATACAAGAGGCTATAATGGTGTAAAACACTGCTCCATGAATCTTTGCTATGATTATTGTGACTCAATGAGGAGAGTATGAATCCCCGCGTATCCCCTGCCCTGATGGGGAACAGATGAGGAGCATGGTGGGGCTGCACTGTCTTACAAGCCAGGCCATCAGTGGAATGAAGCTCCGGAAGTAGGGAGCTGATACCAGCAGCATCCTCAGACTCAGCAGCACATTCACTAGCCTCAGATCCACCAGCACACTTAGAAACCAGCGCCAGATCTGGCGTCACACTTACACATCCAGTTGCTGAGCCAGAACATGGGGTACAGCATCTTCCCAAATGGGGGATGCTGAATGTTTTTACTTTTGAGGCAACCACAATATTGTTTCTGTTCTGAGATCCCTTATTGGGAAAAAAATAATCCTTCAGCACACACTAGCCTGGACAGTCTCAGACTGCGGGATGGTGCTTCTCTTCCCCTTCCCTGAAAACCTCGGAAAACCCCAAACAGAAAGGGAAATCTATTCCATGGATCACCACTCATTCACAGCATAGGACCCTCACTTGATCCCAGACCCAGCAGATCCCGGTCCCCTTGTCCTTTCATCTGGGCATTATCCTCACCCAGGAACTCCAGTAAACAAAATGAGTCTGGAGGACAGAACTAGATAGAAGACACAGCCATTGGGAGTCTGGGACCAGACGAAATAAGGATTCAAGAAGTAGAAATCATTATGGGATAGTGGGGGCAGACAAGAGGGAACTCAAGGAGGAAGGAGGGAGAGACCAAAGCTGAGGAGTAAGGAAGTGTGGTTTCAGGAACAAGAGAGAAACTCTATTACTAGGCCTAAAGCAGAAAGCCTAGGTAGAGCCGGCAGTGGCTGGACAGGCTTGAAGCCAATTCATTGAGTGCTGACTTAGGGTTCCTCAAGTTCCCAGAATGACTGGGCCAAGAATGCATGTGAGGGTCAAGTCTCTAGCACTAGGGATGGGAGGGTTAGAGGAGGAGAGGCAGCATACAGGAAGCTGGACAGATGATTGATTAAACAGCTAGGCTGTTCACCGGCAAAGCCTAGAGTAAGCAACAGTTACTCACACTCCTGAGTCAGAAGTTCGTACATCTTGCCTATTTACTAGAAGTCCACCAACAAGATATTCTTGGTTCTTCTCTCAACATCACCCTCAAGTTGGGATCTCATTTCTACACCAAACAAATGTAAACTCCAGGAGAGATCACTGCTTACCAGATGAGAAATGATCCATATACTTCAATTTGGAGAGACTGAAGGATCAAAAGCAATGCCAATAGCTCTTCCTGTCCTAGGGCACCAATCCTATGGTTCAACCTGTATCCAAAAGAACAATAATAATAGCTCTATTCATTGTGTGTTTGTTGTGTGCCAGGCATTAGGAGAAATGTTTTACATGCATTATCTCATTTGATCCTCAACAATAATCTTCTGTAGTAGATACTATTATGAGGAAACTGAGGTTAAGATAGGTCGCAAGCTGGTAAGCTGGTAGCTTAAGTGCCAAGATGTCAACCTAGGACAGTGTGATTTAAAAGGTCATGTTCAGAAAAGTTATCTTAATCTACTAAACTTGAGCGCTCCTTCTGGGGGCAGGGTGACCAAGAGATCTTAAGGATGTGGGTCTTTCTTAGAACCATAATAGCAGCTTACCCAGCTTCCTTCCAAATGTCTCTGCATGACTTTGCTGTCCTGTATCTTCTATTCTTGTTTACCCACATCCTGGTGGTCCTGCAGTCATAACAGCTTCTAGGCAAAACCTGAGCAAACTGGAGAATTTCTATTTATGACCTATAAGATTGTTTTTCGGAAAGTATATCATCTCTAGCCTTGGTAACAGGCTACCAACCACCATCCTCGCCAGCATGAATTAGGCCACACCCTTTTGCATCATGTTTACTTGTTCGATCTTCAAATGAAATTTTAAAAATTAAAACCTTTCACCCATGCATCCCTAATGCTTTGGAGGCACAGGTGCACAAGCATGCCTATGAAAGAGGCCCACAGTAGCTAAGAATGGAATGAAATACGTTTCTGAGAAGCAGACTTGATAATTTGTACTTGCATTTTACATTCACTCAGGATCTCTCAAAACAAACCATTTTTCTGATACCTCAGTTTTTTTTGGTCGCTCTGTGTGTGGGAGCTTATTTTGATGATACTTCAGTTTTGACTCATTTTCATATTCTATGCCCGCAGTGACTCCCAGCACCTTCTGTGGTGCCCTAGGAATGCATCCCTAGAAGAATGGGGCCTCCTCCCATACAGGCGAATAGCAGGGCTCTTCCCCAACTAAAGAGGAACATATAATAAATATGACATTTCTGACCGGATTAAGAAGGCAAACGTATTTTTTTTTTACTAATTTATTGATAAGTTTATTCTTCACTCATAAAAAAGAACATGTTTTTGGCTTTTAAATCATGACATAAAATAAAAAGGCAAATAACTGAAAATTATCAGCTGAAAAGTAGGTAGAAGCAGCTCATACTGAATCATCAGCAAATGCTACGTGCTTTGGGCTATAGCAGGGGCACCAATCAAAGCAACAGCCGGAGATGCAGTGCCAAGCCATCTCTGAAAACTGCTTAGTTTCAAAAGGTTGTTTGGTCATTACATATAGAATATTAATCCTGCCTCTCCTGCTTTCCTTCTTAATCTTTATGAGAACAGAACGCAATAATGCTTTGATGCTAGTCTTTCTAGTTTGTAGGATAGTGGTGTTGTTTTAACATGTATAACCTGCATAGTTTCAGCCTTCAAAAAATAAAACTGCCCAAATCAACTGTAACTAAAAGCCATTTTTATTTTTGGTCAGTTATCTGCTGTAGGCACAGCTTCATATAGGAATTTTTATTGCGGATTTCTATGACTGCATCCCTAACAAGCTCAATGAACATCTGTGGCCAAAGCTTCTGCAAAGCCTCATTTTTCATGTTGATTTCTGTGGCTTCCTTCACAAGGTCCTCTATATACATCTTGCAGAATTTCTTTTTTTCCTTTATTTCCTGTTAGGAAGAAGAAAGTTTTGCATTAAATCGTAACTAATCCAAAAGTCAAAGCAACTAGCTGAACCATACAGACATGAAATTTTATTCTGATTCCCCATCACTCTCCCCTACTCCTACCCCTCACGGCAGGAATTCTTTCCTAGCCACTCCTGTCAGAGAGCTCTGCTTGAGTAAAGACAGCAACAAGGAGCTCCTTACTTCTCAGCCCACTCCTACTTCTGTTGGACAGCTCTGTTATAAGATGTGTTTCTTTATTGGAATTGCTGAATCATAACTACTATTTCTCCTATCTCAGTTCAGGTAGTTTAGCTCACACAAGTCAGCTGAATGCACAGCCTCAAGGCTTCCAGTGGTAAATGTATCAGGGTACTGATAATGATAATTTTAATTCATATGAGGTTAGTTAATATCCATATAATATTTAATACTTTAAATACCTATACTCTGAATTTACTCTCTATAATAGAAGGGCATAAAATGGTACATTACACTGACTTACGTGGCCTAGATCATTTGGACGAAGTTGGGGAAAAGTGTACAAGAAGAAATATATATGAGCCTAGGACCCAGAATGTAGCCTTCTAAAGAAACAGTGCTCCCACTCAACTTCTGGGTCTGACAGTCTGCAAATGAAAAACCTGGTTCTAAACAAAACAGGGGAAGTTTTGGGCCAGAGAATATTCAGCCCTTGGGCCCCAATTTCATCACAGAGGCTAAAACAAAGCCATTTTATTTAATGTAAGAATTCAACATTATTTTAGCTATTGATACTTTTGGAGAATATCAAGGCATGATCATGGAAGGTGTCATAATACATATGGAAAAATCAATTCAACACATTAGATAATCAGAATTACAAGGGAAGTAATTCACATAAATGAAGGAGGAAAGAAATAATAAATGTTAATGAGAAAATACATTTAACTATTAATACTTGGAATATGATCCATGTAAATCTCTAACTCAAATTGAAACAATAAAATAATTTCAAGGTGAATTAAAAGAGTTAAGTTTAAAATATCACAGATATTGTCATTCAAATTATACATGAAGATTTATAATAACAAGAAAAATGCTTACATTATAAAGTTATGTGAAAACAGAAAAACACAAAATGAAATTTTGATAGAGTTTGGGCTCTATGAATGTATGCATTTGTCAAAACTCAGCAATTTTATAGCTAAGATCTATATTTCAGCATATTAATTTTATCTTAAAAAAACTATATCAAATACTGAAGTCTAATGATATGCATGCTGAATTATTTCGGGAGAAGCTTACTAATGTCTGCAATTACTTTAAAATGAATTTTAAAAACCCAAGGTGGCTTGATGGATGGTGAGAGGGATGGATATACACACAGACATGTAATAAAGCAAGTACGTTGCATGTATGATGCTAATAGTTTAATGGAGGTTTGGGGTGTATGAGTGTTTATTGTAAAATTCTTTCAACTTCACTGTATATGTGAAATTTTTATTAAAAATTAGAAAAGAACACATAGAAACTATTGAACAAAATATAGTGAAGTGTCATTAAGATTGTCTTTAGGTTGCAAGACTGTAAGTGTGCTTTCCTCCTTTTTTTCTGTTTTTCTTTTTCCAAATGTTCATGATTTTTCAAATATGTTTTAAATTCCTGACTAATTAATGTAAGTTAATAATGAGTCCACATTGCACTAACTTTCCCTAACAGAGGTATATTTTCGGAATTTTCTTATGACATATAACACATCTTTAAATAATCAGTCACCATTCAGGGGTCAATATGCTGATCTGATATAGTTCATGTGCTAAAACAACAGGTCATAGGTTCACCTATCATAAAAATATGTATGGATTTTGATAGGTGATAAACAACAAATGTTTCCAACTGACTGTTTTCTCTGATGAACCTAACTTCTCTAACCCTGACCATACTGCAGTCTGGGACTTAGCCACCTGCACTAAGTTAGCATGTCGATGAGAACAGCATTTAGCCGCTCCCTTTTAAAACTCAGTAAATCTGAGATACATAGGGGCCCCTAGAAAGAAGAACAAGTGTGAATCACTAAAGATCAGTAACTAAAATGAGCAACATTTTATAACAAGCAATGCATTTATACAAGTAGAAGGCACAGTGCATATTTAGTGAATGCTTTTCTTATAGATTTCTAAATTTCTTTTTTTTTTTTTGAGACAGAGTCTCACTGTGTTGCCCGGGCTAGAGTGCCGTGGCATCATTCTAGCTCACAGCAACCTCAACCTCCTGGGCTCAAGCAATCCTTCTGCCTCAGGCTCCTGAGTAGCTGGGACTACAGGCATGCGCCACCATGCCCGGCTAATTTTTTTTTTCTATGTATTTTTAGTTGTCCAATTAATTTC